CTAGGGCTAACTGTAGATGTGCTATTTTGTTTACTCTATTGGCTTTCAAGTACAAGGAATGTCAAATTCTGAATTTGTGAATGGATGTATAACTTCATGGTTTTAGACAGGTTAACATAGGTATGTGATGTGTTACAACATGGTCCAGACTGACTGGCGTTTGAGGACTAGTTATTGAAAGCATGTCTATTGGAGAACAGAGGGTTAGGTGAGTTCAGGCTCCATGGTGCACGGCTCACTAGATCTACCAGTGATGAATCACATTCAATATGATGTATGAAAATGTTGAAGTATTTTTCCTATGACCACTTCGGTAATTTTGTTCAAACACTGTTTTGTTCATAGTGTGTGATAGAATATAGAATATATATATTGTTGCATACATAAGCTGGTTCTTTTTTCAGGAACATTTCTATAATGTTTCAAAAGTCAAATTACAGTAGCCTTGTGTTTATAATAGGAGACTGTGTTCTTTATTTCAATCAAAACAGTGCATGTTAATATTGTCATGATGATATTATATCCCTGCTTCATCATCAATGAACAGACATACCCTAGTTATTCCCTCTGGTGAATAACAGGGCACCATTAGAATAGGACATTTCTATCGGTCTTGTGGTGTCAAGTGTCATTTGTGAGAAAAGTGGCAACTTGTCTGTTTCAGTAACCATGGTAACAGAACAGTTGATAAAATATACATCCAATTTCTTCAGTCTTCAAAGAGATTTCGTTCAATTATGGATGGTGTTTGTGATGTCATGCATGCTTCATGCAATTAACGGACAGGAAATGACCTGATTCAAGAAAAACTGAACCTGAAGAGCTTTGCCATTTTCAATGATTTAGTTAGAATCTCACTCTATTTTGATAGAGATGACTGAGTTATGTTTGCTTTTTGCCACTGTCTTACTCTCCACATCCTCTTGGTTAACACTAATTTGCATTTAAAACATCATGATTGATCACTCCAAAAACAGATGCTTGTTCTTTTTCTTCAAGCTGCCCATCACAAATAAAAGAGACGCAAGCCTCTTAATTGTGTTAACCAGGGTTGTGATGTGAAGAAGGCTTGGTTGTTTTATTATTCCTTCTGCCATCTGACAATATATCACACTGGTGGTGTAATACTTCATCTCATCATGCTGATAAAAGCATTCACAGTTATGTGAATCACAATTTAAAAAGTAAGATTTTAAAAACGTTTGTTAAAGTCAGAGAATCTTTTACAATTGTGTGAAGAATGGCTCTCTGTTGGTGGGCCCTGAATTTGGTGCTTGTTTTAATGGGCAATTACCATATTGACTTTTACACATGACAAAAGACCCTATAAGATTAAAAGTTAATGCTAGGAATAAAAATGTACTTGTTTTCAAGACTTCTTGATCAGTCCAGGGACCCATTTAACAAAGCGATCATAATGCTATGACTGTCATAAATCTATGTTAAAGTATAGGAGTTACGATTACCTTAGCTCTATGATCGCTTTGAGGAATGGAATCCAAATGTACAATGCCAGTAACTAAACACAATGTCTTATATGATTCATTAGTGTATATGACACATGGCTTGACTGTAACGAGTGATGACTCAGCTTTATATATAACTGTTGACTAGCTTGTTAGCAGAGTGAGAATTGTAAACTGCTAACGAGTAGGAGAGGGCACATTTAGCATTGATGGTTTAATTAGGTTAATTTCCTTGATTCCCGGGGTTTAATTGTAAATTCCGGACAGATGTTAACTAAACTCTCATATGTATGCTTGACTCAACTGCTTTATCTGAACAATTGAGCAGGCTTTGTTGCTCCCTGTTTGAAGAGAACAATTGAGTTGCAGCATTGATTCTGGACACCGAGATGTTTGGGAATACACTTAAATACAGCAGTTGTCAGTTGTGATGTATTTTGTCGCTGTGTTGTAAAGGTCAGTAACTCGCCCAGGGATTGTTACATTCATGAAGGGCATTTAGAACAGGCCGGGAAGTCACTGAATTGAGTCTTTATTTAGTGAGATCGCTGTGGTTATTGAGACCATGGCAATATAGCCTTGCTAATGTTTGAAGATGTTTTGCTGACAGTGACAGGAATTGTGTGAATTATATTCTTTGGCTGAATTTGTGTTGTTTTCCATAAATGGTTTTTGGTTGTTATGGCAACCAATCATTCTTCTTCCAGTGCCTTACATATAGAATATAAGGTTTGTGTTTGAGAGACTGTCTGATAACCAAATATGCATGAATAATCTTTGTTTATTTAAACATTGAAATACTAGTCATGCATATTCATGTGTATGTATGGTTTCAAATGCACATATAGTTACATTTTATTATCATGGTGTTAATACTACTGGTAAAATGATCTTGACTGTATTGTAGAAATGAATAGTATGAACCTCCTTTTCACCAACCCAAATTACATCAGGAAGCCATGTGGAAATCAGACTAAAATCTAAATCAAGTTGCTCTGATGTCATTAATGTTAATTCGGACTGTACTTTGGGCGCTGATACAAAGGTTTTTCAGTTTGTTTGGTCCCGAATTTCAGTGTATTAGGAAACAGCCACACTGAACTTTCATCTGAGAAAATCACATTGTCCCAGTTAAAATTTCTATGCTGTAAGTGTAAGCACCAGTTCAACCTTCGCTTCTTTTGTTCAGTTTCATGATCTGTGATGGAATTCCTTGACTTTTCTGCCAACCCATTGCATTCAGCTCAGTTCTAATTGTCTCCTTACAGACAGCCACAGTTCCTCTATCGATCATATCCAGCCTTAAGTTTTCTAAACTCCTTCGGTTTTTTTAGAAACAAAAATACCAAGCCGCCTCCTGTCACCGACAGTAAATTTTCTGGGCCTACCTGCGCCTCCCTGGTGCTCAATGCCGTATCCATTTGCAATATTTTTCAAAACACGATAAACAGTGGACAAAGGGATGCCTGTTCTACTTGAAATCACTTTAGCTGATCTGATGTCCTTGTTATAATGCTCTAAAATGAACTTCCTCTTCTCTAAATCATCCATACTGAGGATCACTGAAAATGTCGTCTGCTAGCAAGTAAGCAAAGAGGGATAACTCTTCACAAACTAATGAAAAAGGATTAACGGAGTTGTCTCTCTTGAATGAAACCAAGCACTTGATAGCTGGTCTAGAAATCCACTTAAACATATTCCTAAAATTCTCAATAATTTCTGGTCATACTATATTATTTATATAGTTTTCTTTTTGCTTAGCCAGACATCACATTTTTTTAGGTTTGGGATTGTGAAAGAACAGATCTAGAACCGGTCAGATTGCTGCACATGCTGCAATAGACTTTGCAGTTGGGTTTTGTTTCTAAGTCCATTTGATTAGTTATGACTAAATGGTCAAACATTGGAATAGATTCAATTATTTACATTCTATAGCTAGCAGTGTGGAACGTGAGTGAGTGAGCGAGTGACAAATGCTAACTACACTGTTTGCGACCCAGCTGATTATTAATGATGGCTCTGTTATCACATGGTAAAAATGTTTATAGCTTCTTAAACACATCAAAACTAAACAGCAAGAGACAGCTACATGTCATTTCAAATTGAAAAGGTTTCCTTTGCATTTCTTGTTATCAGCGTTGAGAAATAAGGTCTAGACAATATTGATCTTCTCTGTAATGGGAGGAAACTCCATGTAATGTATCTGAATTAGACAGATCCTTTGTTGTACAGCTGTAGTTGCTTTAGGCTCAGCCCAAACTTGTCCCCTAGTAGGCTAGTACATCATAGTACCTGAATGGTGGTAGAATAGTGGTTACCATGTTGCACTGCTAAATGAAGACATTATCACATTGGAAACACACAATTATATTCATAGGATTTCATATTGAACAGTGTTTTATGATGTGCATTACCATGTGGAAATAGAGTAATTCACTCTTTGTCACCCATCTCAGTTTTATAAGGTATTTAGGATATTGTAGGAATGAACTGATCTTTGTTATTAGAATGGTTTACCATGGTTCAGTATTCTCGTTTTCAAGAAACACTAATTGTTAAAATATTAATCTTCTTATGGCATAGCGACTGCCCGGAGAGCGGAAGGTCGCTGGTTTGATCCCCGACCTGGTCATACCAAAAGACGTTAAAATATGGTACTTGTTGGTCCCTGCCTGGTGCTCGGCATTAATGGGTACAACAAGGACTGGTTGGCTCGGAGTCAGTATAATCATAATGTGTGTGAGTGGGGTATTCATGCTTCACTGCGGCATGAGTATCTTAGTGGGCTAGCACTATAAAACCAGCTTAAGTCTAGGCTAGTACAAGCAGCCGCACATACACACACATGCACATGCACGGCGAAATATTCTCAAGCACGATGTTAAACCCAATTTCACCTCACCTTTTATGGCATAGTATGGATTTAAGGTTTCTTTGACCATCAACTTATCCATGATCTTGAAGCCCAAGCCTAGTCATTCTGTGAATTTCATTTTATTTTAACTCTTAAATATACTGCAATAATTCTATAAAGAACCAAATTTGAGGTAATAAACTCAAATCAATTTTGTAAAGATAGCTTTGAATGCTGTCATTAATGTAATCATTATAACAGAAGAACATTAAACCTAAGGAATTCAAGACTTTTTGCCATATGAGTGTAATTTCTAATTAGTATGTTGGTAACTGGAACAGTTATCTTTTTCAGACAGTTGTAATCAGATAATGTTTAATTTAGATCTTAAATCTCATTTGCAAATTCTAGCAATGGTTTAATTGGACATCTCTCAAGTTATGTTTAAGTTGAGTTGTTTTTGTCAGTCCTTGTCAAATCCTTGATAAGGTATCGGCAAGGGTCCACTTGCACAAAATGTTCTTATTACTACAACTGAAATGAATCTATGTTGTTGTAATGCTAAGATCATTTTGTGCAATGAACCAAGCAAGTGTTCAGATTGTGTTTGTGTATTACTGCAATGATATGATCATTCAAAAGTATTCAAAGCTGTACTTAAAACATGATTTTATTTGCAGGATCTAGAACAGTTCTTGGATTGGTCCACTTTGATGGGTTTATATTGGCAACCTGAATCCCCTGTTAATGGAGATTGGTACATTCCCAGCCATGGCCTTCAGCAATATATTCAAGAAGGCATCAAGTCTGCTGGGAATTGGGGGTGACGCTCTGAAGCCTCCACCCCTAGATGGGGAAATTATCTACTGTAAGAACAATGTGTGTGTCCATCCTCCAGCTCCCCTCTCACTGGATGCAGAGCATTATCCAGGATACCTCACTCTCCGAGCACATGAAGACAAGGTATGGAGCTACTTTGTCGCATGTTTTCACTTAAATTTACATTTTGTGAAATTTCCCAATAAGCATGATGTTTATGATCATATCTTTATTTAGTTAATGTACAGACGCTGAATGGTACAATTGAAGCTATCCCCACAAAACACTATAGAAATAAGTCACTATAAATTCAAATAATATCAATGCCTGTTAGAGGTGCTTACATGGAATGGGATGGTCAGACAAAATATCCCAGCTAAATATGTCATAGTACCTGCAGGTTACGCTGCTAATTCTATCAGTCACTGGTTGTGCGGGTCCCAAGTTGATTGTTGTCAGGCTGCTGTGTATAGCTGGAATATTGCCATGTAGAACAACAAACAATTCAAGTAATTGAGAACTTGGCTGAGAGGGTGGAGATGTTGATTTAACAATTCAGTGTCAGTCAATCAGGCTATTCATGGAGATATTCCTATTCAATGACATTTATAATTGATTGTTTTTATCCATGTAATGTGAGCAGTGAGGATTTTGTCAGCAGCAAGGAATTTTGTGGATTGTATTTCACTAGCAGTATCAGCAGATTAATTTACAAAACTGATCAACAAGTGATTAAATATTATATAAAGAATTAATTAAAAATTTCTTTTGCGTTGTTACCTTTATCCAAAATTGAAAGTAGCAATTTGATGTTTGCAACGTTTGTAAACAGTTTTGTTCCCCATCAAAAAGTAGTATATGCAGCACATGTACGATTAAGGATAATAGATTGAGTGTAAAAACTTTCAGATTATTGCACATGTGATCATCAATGCTAATCATACTGATTGGTCAATGGAATTTTATGACATAACGTTACTGCATGATGTCACAAATGGATTGCATTTTCTCACTTTGACAAAATGATGCCTTCACTGAAGTTTCTTTGTATGGTGGATCTTTCGTTCAGTTATTTTTGTTTCTTCCAATGATAACATGTAATGCAAAGAATATTCTAGTTAAACTAAATGCAGTTGTGCGATTTGTACGTGTGAAATTGATATTTCACTGCACATACTTGTTGATTACCTGGCTGTTCTACCAGCAAGTGGTCCCCCCTCGTAAGAAATAGCGAAAAGTGACAACAAAATAATGATCGTTTTGTTTGTTAAACAACCTTTTTTTTTAGGATGTCTAAAATTATGAGACAAATCATCAGAGCTGGTCTGTCGATTTCATGTGACTGTGCAAAATTTGGTTCTGTTACAATTATTAGATTTTGTGTTAGTGAGCAATTCATCTGTCTAAAATGAAGTCAAACGGACTATAGTATTAACATGTCTTGATTTTCATGACATTCTTAATCTATGGCCTTAATCTATGATTATTTCAGGCAAGTGGACCAACTTTAATTCTTACCTGGATACCAAATGCAACACTGAAAAAGAACCCAAGGAGTATTGAAAACAGCCCCAACAAGTCAAAGGGCAATACACCCCGTGCCAGTCCAAGACGAACACCCAAGCAAGAGTTTGCCAAACTTGACCATGGTTCCCAGCTCACCCCATCTCCCAGTGAGTCGCAGTGTGACTCAGGCATTCTGGGAGGATCAGACATTTTCGAGCGTCTTGAGCGGTCCCTACCTCGTAGAAAGAAGCACAGTACAGACAACACAAGTTTGAGCTCTGAGATATCGGTTGGATCTCGAGATGACAGTGTTGAGAGCTGGAACCCAAGTGAGGAGTTCACACGGGATGGTCATCGTCTCAGCACAAGCAACAAATCGCAAACAGATTCAGGCATTGGACCAGAAGAGATTATGACAAGTCAGGGTTACGTGCAGAATAATGAGAAGTCACTGCCAATTGGAACAAAACCAAACAAGGTTGGAATTAATGTTAATGATCTGCATACCGAAAAAGGAAAGAGTAATATGGAACAAAGAAATCTCATGAATACCACTGTGAAGGAGGAGGAAATCTCTTCTCCTGATAGTGATGGACTTACATCAGAAGAACAACTGGCAGCCATGTTGAAACGAAATAAACTTCATACAAAAGCCAGAGAGAGAACAGACTCCAATAAATCTGTCAGTATTGAAATGGATGGGGATAAGTTGGTTGTTGTTACAGAAGAAGTTGGTGATGATGCATTTGTTGATAAGAATACTGATCTTTCGGAGAGGAATCTCAACAAGAATGAGAGCAAGTTTGACACTAGCAGCTCCCCTTCCACTGATGTGGATTCTGCCAGTCTTAGTTCAGATTCCACCCATCCTTCCCCTTCAGGGGCCCATTATGAAACTATGCTGTCTGAACTGAAAAAGGACCTTGAATCACAAAATGGTTTAAAATCTGGTGAATATCCATCAAAAGAATACCCCCCCTAAAGAAATCCTACAGGTTATGCCCACTGTGAGTAAAATTCCCAACGAACTTGATTTGAGTGGGTTTACTCACCCCCCACCAAATACCCCGATGCTTACTCCTGATATTTCTGTTACACGGTGTCGGAACACATCTTCCTCTTCCACAACGACTTCTGGGCCTGATTCACGACCTCCAAGTCCGTACACGTCTGATGACTCCGCCCCCAACTCACCTGGTAAGGAGTACTCTTCTTCCAGCTCCTCTGCCAGTGTGTCCCACAATCTCACCTTCCCAGAAAACTCAGTGGTGTATGCTAGTAATCGGAAAGAAAAGAAATCAGCCAAAGAACAAATCTGTGGAGTCTTCTCAGTTGATTTAGGTAAGTATAGATCTCTATTCATATATTGTGGTGTAGACAGTAAATGTAACTACTACTGGGGATGCTCTATGCAGCTCAAATTTATGGACTATATATTACCTGTATGAGCAGGGATATGTCCTATTGTCAGTAATAAGTAATTACAGAGCAAACAAGAACATTCATTACTCTTTTTATGGCAAGTAATGTTGATTATGTCAAAGTGGATGCAAGTTATACATCATTCTTTGTACTATGGAGTCATCTCTCATTGCAAATGTATGTGATTGTAACGGATTTTTTTTCTTCTCCATTAGCAGACCATCACATGAAAATTCTTTTGAATTTTTCCAAATATATGGACATGATCCATCTGTGGTAAACTTAAAGACATTTACCATTAATACAGGTAGTCGCCAAGTTTTTGTTTGCTTAGACTTATGAATAACCAGTGTACGTTTGAAAACAACCTGTTTTTGTAGCAATGAGACAAGGTAATATACTTTAACTTGATATATGATAATAGCAAGATGTTTCAGGCAATACATGATCAAAGAATTTGTACTGCTTTGTAACAATTAGTTGAAATGGCTTGGCTCATTGTGGGACAGCATCCTTGTCTTAGGAACATTCAAGATGTTACTGATTCTACTTTACTGTGTGTTGCACTGTAGCAAATCTGTGCCACAGTATGTGACACAGATGTCAAAGGGAGCACAATATGCTGTGCAACTTGCTTCATTAAACAATTGCTTATGTATGCTAGAGACTGGGGTTTGCCCAGGTTTGGCAGCCCTATTCCTGTGTTTGTGGGTTCTTCAAATTGGTAAATATCGGAGACCTATATCACTTCTATTCTGGTTTTCCTTCCATGGTAAGATATGACTGGAACTCTGTTGTAAGCAGCCTTAAAGACATACTCATTCACTCACTCATGGGTAAGAAATTACTAAGAATCCAAGGTTTGCTCTTGGATAAACTTGGTAGACATTTAAGCCCTTCATCACTTTGGGCTATCCCCTGCACTAAGATTTGTCTGTTGTGTGTGGTACTATGGTCAGTTGTTGTGTACAGGTCAGATGCGGTCTCTGCGGCTGTTCTACAGTGACAAGGAGTGTACCCGGGGCCAAGTGGTCATAGCCAGCAGGGAGAGCCAGTACAAGATCCTCCACTTCCATAACGGAGGCTTGGATAAGCTGGCTGAGATCTTCGAGGACTGGAGCTTGTTTGCCAAGGCTAAGGACAAGGTATCAAAACGAAAAGTAAATACAAAGAGAAGTCCAGCTACTGTATGTTGTGGCTGTGTTTGTAACAGTGTATTCACCATTGCTGCTTATTGTTTGTCACAGTTTTAAAGATGTACATGAACTTTTCAGGCAGATGTTGTATCACCTCTCTGTGTGATTTTATATTTTATATATTACAAAATGTAAGCATTTGTTTTGGGCAAAATATGTAAAATTTCTTGTCCTTTAAACTTTAAGGTAATGATGTTATCAGTACAGTTGTCAAGGTCAAGGAAACTGGGGCATGACAATGAATGTGCGACACTGGTTCACATCATTTAGTATCGATGTAACAGTGAGTGTTATTGTTCAACAACTTTTGACTGTGTGTCTGAACCCTACAGGTGAAGGAAGGTGAGACCCCTTACCGCCAGTTCCTCATTGTGAAGCCCCAGATCACTGACGACCAGTGCCACCCTGAAGAGGGTGTGTATGCCACAGTCACTGAGGAGATCTGGAGGGTGCACATGAACAGGGAAGGCATCATTGAGGATGACTATCAGCTGAGGAAGGTTAGTATCCCATGTTCTTTTGGAAAAGAATTTAGATTATAGAGATCATCTTAGAGGAGGTGTTGCAGAAGAGAAGCAAAATTGACGTCAGTTTGAGTTGTTCTGCTGTGATGAAGAGTATTTAAGTTATATCATGGTGTTAACTTTAGAAAGCCTGAACTGACACATGTTTGACATAGGATCAGCATTATTTGTATTTCCTCTTGGTTGGGACTCTTGAATTATAGCTGTCATTGGAACATTTTTTTGGACTTAGATAATCCAGGCTGTTATCTTTAGCCCACTTAGTCCCTATTAACATTTATATTTGTTTTATTTTCTAGGCTATATTTTTTGGTGGCCTTGATCCGCTGTTACGTCACGAGTCCTGGCCTTATCTCCTCCACTACTTCCCCTATGACTCAAGTTTCGATGAACGGGAACAAATCCGCAATGACAAATTCATTGAGTATCAAAATATTAGAAAAATGAGGTGAGTTGCTTTTGTATGTTTTTTAATCAAAATGTTCAATGTTGAATGTCCATTCCCTTTTGAACTGGTTACTCATTAAAGGGAAGTAATTTGGTGGCTCAGAATATTACCTACCTTTGGTCATAGTTGAAAAGTTGTCATATTGACAGATTTTGTTCATGTATTTCCATCAAGGACATCTGCGCCAGTGTTACTTGAGGCATTAATCTGTGTTTCAATTGGTCTTCAGCAATCCATACTTGTCGTGAGAGGCAACCTACAAGATTGGGTGGTCAGACACATAAACCTGGTTAATGCATGTCTTCGAGTTCCAATTACGTAAATCAAAGCTCATAATGTCAGCTTCTGGATTGTCTGGTTTAGAGTTGTATACAGACCTACATCTGTTATATGGATGGAACAAATAAGCCTGAGGAATCTTTTTGAAACAATATTCAGCAAGTTTTGTGCATGAAAGTGCATTAAACTTTCTCACTAAAAGACAATCTGTATTCATAGCTTGGCCATGGGAGCCATTCTAGTTTCACTTCTCAGGGGGATACACACAGTATGTAATCTTGACTACCACTTGACAGACTTCAGTTTTTGGAAAATTGGTGGCTGAGTGTATTAGATCGCTGACTTTGTTTGCTGGCGATCTGGGAGTGTAGGGATTGAATAATCCCGGGTGGAATAAATAAAAAAGTACTCAAATCTGTACTTCACTGTGTGTAAGTGTAATCCTGTGTATTATATACATTACAAGTTATGTGCATTACAAGAATCTGAGTTCTCCCACTTTGACTGACTGACTGACTGAGTTTGGTTTTACGTCGCCTTTAGCAATCTTCCAGCAACATCACGGCTGGGGACACCAGAAATGGGCTTCACACAATGTACCCATGTGGGGATTCGAACCCGGATCTTCGGCGTGACAAGCCAACACTTTAACCACTACGCTACCCCACCGCCCCTCTCCCACTTTGAATTTTGGTGCACACACTGGCTACACTTTGGTTGGCTGTTACAATGACTGCAAATTTTAGATCTTAAATGTTTGGAAACAACTGCAATTTGTTTAGGTTGTCATTGTACTCAAAAGCAGAGGATTAATTGTCTCACTACAAACATCCATGTTGCCATTTGAACCTTTGAGGCCTGAATTTTGATGACCCCATAATGTGGGTTTGTTGACTATAATGTAGAACATGTGGAGGAGAGGTTGTTGAGAAACCAGTTGATGCATGTCAATCCGTGTATATATTTACAGAGAGTCGATGACATTCGAGGAACAGCAGCAGTTCTGGAGGACAATCCAATGCACTGTGGAGAAGGATGTGGTGCGAACAGACCGAAGCCACCCTTACTTCCGCGGGGATGACAACCCCAACATTGAAGTGCTCAAGTCAGTATATGCATGAAATACTTGTAGTTCAGCAGACTGATGGTTTTATGTAACAATAACAAATAGTCTTGCTTTATGATATGAACTTATTTAATCATGATAATGTAAAGCTCGTTTTTGTTTCTTTTAAATCTCTTCAACATATTACCTGTGACGGTCCGGGTTAGAATTGGCCTTCAGTAACCCATGCTTGTCATAAGAGACGACTAATGGGATCGGGTGGTCAGGCTCGCTGGCTCGGTTGACACATGTCATTGGTTCCCAAATGTACAGATCGATGCTCATGCTGTTGATCACTGGATTGTCTGGTCCAGACTCGAATATTTACAGACCGCCGCCATATAGCTGGAATATTGCTGAGTGCGGCGTAAAACTAAACTCACTCACTCACTTCAACATATTAATCTTGTGGTGTTCAACTGTTGTGGCCTGAGTGTTATCTGTATATTGTGTCTGCCAGACTGTCAAACATTAGGTCAGGCCCCAATTTCACGAAACAAACTGAAGTCTGAGTTTTCACTCAATTTTGAGACAATGCATTTCCCAGAAATTTGAAATTTGAGTAGAAACTTAAGTTTGTTTCGAGAAATCGGGGCCTGATCATTAAGTCACTCATAGGTCAAATCACAGATTCTACTTTCAACATGTTTATTGGTAACAGTGGTGAATGTTGTTCGCCATCCTATTTCCCCACAATTGTTGTAAGAGCTGACTAGAATGGGGTTTGGTGTAATAGTGTTTCATCTGAGTCATGAGTATGTACAGAGTCTAGATGAACACTAAGGGAACAACTATTGGATGGCTAATCAAGCCCTTGTTTTATGGGATTTGTTTGTTTCTTAGGAAACACAAACCTTACCTATTTCTTTAGTTGTAGTTTCCCAAAGACACATTGTATTTTTTTGCTATTGCTATAACACCCGATTCACTGACTCTCTCCTTATTGTCTCCAGGAACATCCTCCTGAACTACGCTGTGGCCAATCCCTGGATGGGCTACACTCAGGGCATGTCAGACCTGTTGGCGCCAGTGTTGGCTGAGGTGCAGAACGAGGTTGATGCATACTGGTGCTTTGTCGGACTCATGCAGAGGACCATCTTTGTCAGTTCTCCCCGAGACAGCGATATGGATAAGCAGCTGGTAGGATGTGTGACTCATCTCTGTAAAATGGCAGTAGTTCATTCTGATATTCCAGCTGGTTCATTTCCCTGTGGCATTAGTCTTGCAACCTGTACCTAGTTGTCTGCCACAATTATTTAGTACCAAGACAGAAACATCATTGTGACAATGTTTCTGCAATTATCAATAGCCTTTTTGTGTGCCCCTTGACAGTAACAATCATTAGTATGACAGGCATGTGAACCTCGTTTAAATAATCATCAAACTTAAAAGGTATAATATAATTAAACTGTAATTCATTTGTTTGCTGGTAGATAACAGTTACATATCGGAGTCAATCGATTATCAATTATTTGACTGCCATGTATGAAACAGTTTTGATTACTGCAAGAATTTTAACCTCACTTCAGTTAATGGTAACTGCCATAAATGTTATGGTTTGATGTAACATGGATTTGTAAGAAAATTAAAGGGAAATAGGAAACAATTCAATAGGAATCAAAATATGTGTTTGTTAGCATTGAAAACACTCTTGTCGTGTTTGTTCATTATGGGATAAAATTCAAATAAAAGGCAGTATTTGATCAACAGGAAGAAATGTGCACATTGTTTTTTTTTGTCAAATGAGTACTCATATTCATTCGCTTCCAGAACTACTTCCGTGAGCTGCTACGTTTGATGGAGTTCAAGTTCTTTGCTCACCTGGTGAAGTTGGGGAGTGATGCCATGGAGCTGCTGTTTTGTCATAGGTTGGTGTCAGTGAGTGAGTGAGTTAAGTTTTACCCCGCACTCAGCAATATTCCAGCTATATGGCGGCGGTCTGTAAATAATCGAGTAGACAATCCAGTGATCAACAGCATGAGCATCGATCTGCGTAATTGGAGACCGATGACGTGTCAACGAAGCCAGCGATCATAAACTTTATTCTGAAATACAGTGATAAATTCAGAAGCAGTTACAAGTTTAATGATAGTAACAAACTAAAAATTATACTTATTTCTTTCCAAATGATTTAAATAAAAATAGATAAACTAATATCATATCTGTTTAACATGTTAAAGAGCAGTAAACCATCTGTTTTAATCATTACAATATGTTTATCCACTTTGTTCATTTGTAGGTGGATCTTGCTGTGCTTCAAGCGTGAGTTCCCTGAGTGTGATGCTCTGAGTATCTGGGAGGCTTGCTGGTCCCACTACCAGACTGACTACTTCCACCTGTTCCTCTGTGTGGCCATCGTGTCCATATACGGGGATGATGTTATAGAACAGAACCTGCCTGCTGATGAGATCCTCCTCCACTTCAGCAGCCTTGCTATGCACATGAATGGAGATCTTGTCCTCAGGAAGGTAAGGTTACTGATGGAGAAATCATTAATCAAAGATGTTATGTCAACAGATTGATATACTGTTGTTCAAAAGGGTAACCATTGACTGCATCAGGGCTGATAGTGAGGATCAGCACCCACAACATTGCACAGTGCCACAATAGTGTGGTAAGGCAAATGATCCAGTTGGGCTGTCGCTGAAATTGAAACATTGAGACAATGATTACTGTACATAATGAAAGTAGTTTGTTTTTGATTAACATGTTCAATAATACCACATGGGGACTGACCACTCTGTGACTATGGTATCAGGGACTGATTGTGTGGTATCATATCAAGACAAATCAGTTTGGTTGGCCATTTGAGTGTCAATTGCAGCAGAGTTCTTCATGTCCTGTGTGCAATATAGTCGAAAATAGTTCTAATGCCTTGTGTTTCTTCCACTAGGCCCGTGGTTTACTGCACCAGTATCGGAAGATGAGGAAGATCCCGTGCAGCCTGTTTGGTCTGTGTTCTCGCTGTAGCCCCGGGATGTGGGACAGTGGTCACGTGCCCACTGTGGAGTGTGTGGGGCACCGGGAGGGAGAGGAATGTCTCTATCAAAGTCAGCCCAGCACACCAGTTACCCCCACACACTGAGGACACCTGCTCGTTATAGTCTGGATACACAGAGCAAACACAGTACTAACAACACACATACGACAGTAGTGTTACACTAGGTTTCAGTAATGATTGATGGTAACGTCTTCTCTCTTTGGTGTTCAAAATGCCTTAGTTGTTCTCACACTACAGGCATCTTCTATGCATTCATTAAGAGGTGGGCATTTTCTTACACCCCGCTATAAGCATGTTTCAGGGATGGCTGTAACAGGTATTGAACAAGTTCTGTAGGCATTAAGACATTGGGCTGTTCAGCTGAATCTTCCTCACTCTCTTCATCCTTTATCATGATATTAATTTCATAATCCACCATCAATTATGGTTACAGGTGTAGTATTACCGGAGCTGTTCTGATTGTATTACTGATGCACATACCTACAGGGTAGCTATAACAGTCATCACACATTGACCCAGTTATATTTTTAAAGGGTATATACATGGAGTTAAGATAGAGCAACCGGTATATGTGTTGGCTTGATGTACGTGGAACAGTATTGTGGGTTTGACAGACTTGATGGAGCATGGACAAAAAAGACCGATTCCAAATACTATATCACTGTTAGAATATTGTTCTTCCAAAATATCCTCCACATCATTTTGACATCTGTTGATGTCTCCATTAGTGATTGTGTGTCTGGTGTTAGTATCTTTTTACAGTACCTGATGTGTTTGCAGTGCTTTAAGTTATATGTAGACAGAACTGCAATGCCTGTAGTTTAGACAGGGAATTTAAGCCAAGGCTCTTGTTACATATGGCAGGGATTGATGCAGACTTTATATCATGGTTGTAACCAATGCCAAAGTGGTTGTTCAGGTTGTTTAATCATTTACAAATTGTGTAAGTATTTACATTTCACAGTGTTTCACTGAGAGTAGGATTACAAGTGAATATTAAAGAAAAGCATGTTCAAGCAGTGTTTAAAACTCCCAAAACTTCAAGCCAGACAGCCAGCCTGGTAACCAGACCAGCGGACAGGCTACGTTTGAAATTAGACCATCTGAGATGAAAATAGACCGTTCCGGACGGTTGGGCAGGTGGGCGGGCGGGAATTTTAAATGCTGCTGACGTGAATGATCAAGTCGTCAGTAAGTGTAATGTGACTTACAAGAGATGAGATTATTTTGTTACTGAGACAATAGATGATTGTTTATGAAATTTAAGCAATGAAGTTGAAGTTCTTGTCACCTGTTGTATGTTTCTATGGTTACGGTAACTTTCTGCTCAGAGATGCTGGGATCCACAACCTTCTGACAAAGAGGAAAGTACACCCAGAATTAAGCATGTGTTGTATGGAATTATTGCTCATAGATCGTCAACATATCCAGGGTTGATTGATGCAGCAAAAGATGGACATCCTTTTATGTGAGTGAAATACTGCAGGCTGAAAATGATTTTGATTTGAATGTCTGCAACAGTAAAAGTGTTATGGTAATCCACAAAAAAATATTTCTCATCCTTCCTTAAATAGTCCAATCCTGAACTGGTAGCTATGGTGAAGAAGACTATGGTCCATTGATACAGACTAAGAGGACATCTTGCTCATGATACCAGCCTATATTTTGTTGAGTATGTTCTTGACCAAGAGTATTCATGACCAAAAAAAGAAATTGGCTTCACTATCAAAGCTGATTATTTTCTGATTGGTTGACAGTGTGTTAAGATGTGAGATTTTTGGATGTAGAGAAGGGAGTTGTCGGGAGTCACAGGATGTGATTGGTTCAGTCATGTGGTGATACATAACTACATGTATTATTTTGTGTATATAATGTAGATATATATATTAAGGGCAGCAAATGTAAACCCGACTTGTTCAACATGTTGATCAATGTTAGTCCATACTGATAGTTGATGTGAGAGAGTTCTCTTCTTGTTCTGAAAAATACCTCTTATTGATCTTATCGATGACGGGGGGGGATGTTAATGTAGAATTATTCTGTAGATATTTGTGTGTTTGTTCATGTTATGATTTTTTCAGAATACATGGTATAAATCCAAAAATACACATATTGAATATTCAACAATATACTGCTACTGGCCATGAATTTAGCAAGGTTGAGAATGAATCTAGTGCATTATTATCATTACAGGATTTTGTTTTAAATAAAATAATACTGACCAGTATATACTTTGAGCGGTGGGGTAGTCTAGTGGTTAAAGCGTTGGCTCGTCACGCCGAAGACCCGGGGTTCGAATCCCCACATGGGTACAATGAGTGAAGCCCATTTCTGGTGTCCCCCGCCGTGATATTGCTGGAATATTGCTAAATGCGGCGTAAAACCAAACTCAGTCAGTCAGTCAGTTGAGCTGCAGCTACATACTGATATGAATCTACAGGACTAATAAAATATAACATATCTGCATGACGTTTTTAGGCCTCATAATAAGATTGTAGTGTTCACGTACAGTTAAATAGATACTGCTGCCCTTGCTAGGTTTTTGGCCAGGTATGTTCAAGTGTTTCATTATTAATTGTGTTGTGGTGTTTGAAACAAATTACAACATGTAACAGTATTCCTGTATTAAGATCAATTTATTGACTTAGACTAGCATGGCATATGATGTGGGAAGGTGTGCAATATTATCTCATTTTGTTTCTGTGATATTCAGTTTGTGACTAACAGGATACTTGAGTACTAGATACTATATTTGTGTAGGTGCTTCATTCATGTAGGGTAAGATGGAATGTGGTGGGGGGCTAGAAAATAAGCAATATTATGAAATATTACACAGAGAAAGAGTTGTTCTATATTTTCAAGGTGATATATATATGTGTTTATAGCATGCCAAAAAACAAGGTTTTCTGTGACTTTTGGAATACTCCTGATCTTGTCATGATACATTGTGATTATTCATAATTGTAATCAGGAGATAACAAATTTACCACACATCTTATATGTATTACTGTCAGTTCATTTTTAAGCCTTGTGTTGAAGAGGCTTGACAGCAAGAGAATTTATTTTATGTTATTGAGATTATTTTGTTTGTTTTTATTTGGTTGTTAATATCTATTTTTGGTTGTTAGTTTTTATGCGGATTATTTGTCAAAATAACCATGCCTGTACAAGCTTGGTTTGAATGTAACCATCTCTACAGGATTGTCTGGAACCCTTGAAAGAGGTTTTTACTGGAAATCAAAAATAGGATTATCAGAATGGACTGAAAATAGAATCTATAAACTATAAACTATATCCGAATGCACCAGTCTGTGTAACTGTGTTGCCAGGTAGTAGAAGACATTTGCTTTCATTAGTATTTCCAAATACATGTATTAGATAACTATGTAATTTTGGGCAGTTCTATGTACAAAAAATATGTTCATCCCAAGACAAACTCTTTTCAAAATATTCTTAGTTCGAATGCTAACATAAAAATGCTGAGATAAGAACTCCTGTTGTAATGTTTCTTAGTTCAAATCAAATTAGGAATTTGTTTTGCTAAAGAATATTTATGTGTTTATATTTAAGATTTTAAGACAATCATTGTTTGCATACAAGATGTTGTATTGCAGTTCATAACATTCCAGGAAATTGCTCTCTTTGTTTGATGAATACATTTCTACTCCATTTTGATTTTCATTATTTTATGTGAGACAAAATAGAAAGACTAGAAAAAAAGAGTGTCTACAATACACTGATCACGACTGAAGAGAAAGACACAACACCACCCTGTTGAGGTGACAGTATCCTGTTGATATGCATTTACCTTTTATCTTGAATATGGTTCTTGAATGAAATCCTTTACTCAGTAATGCTCAGTCTTTATCTTTTATGTTTTGCAATTTATTTCATGTCAGACTGTTTGTCCTGTGTCTCTGTTAAAGGAGGAGTTTAACTCACCAGCCATGCATTCCACTGTCCTCTCCAATGATGAGGATTTCTCCACTAGTCAACTTGTCAGTCATGTCAATAAATAGAGTCACAATGTTTTTGTTCACTGGTCTTTTTGTTCTGAATACAGCTGATGTCAAATTGCAATTCAGCATTAACACCTTTATACACTCCCATGTTTCTTTTTGAAAAGATGTGGCTCTAAATTATGTTGTCAGGAAAAGAAAAAAGGGCCTTGGTCACCTCAGTGAAATCCTGAAATACACTGTGGTGGTGTGTAATCTTTTGCCGAAAGCAGAGATCACAAATCAGATGAAGTTAAGCAATGTTGGGCATGGGAATTCCTTGGGTGGGTGACCGTGTCTGCCAGCTAGAGTTTCTAGGACTACTGTCCTGCTGAACAACAATCCATACATGACACATGTGGTTTCACCTTAGATAAGTGAGTTTCTTCAAAATTGCCTCTGTTTGAAATTACATTAGTAAAATTATGCCTTCCTTGGAAAATAGTAATGGTTTGATAGTGTCTGATCATGATGACATTTTGCAGGAAGTGAGGTCCTTTTGTGATAGTCTTTATACTTCAAGAGATAATAGCCTTGGTGAAAATTATATGGGTGATATGCCGGATTAACTGAGCTCCCAAAACTGGATACTGCTATTGCCCTTCAGGTTAATAACCTATTTAAGAATTGGCAAAGGCCATGATGAAGATGAAAAATAACAAAAGAACGGGGTCAGATGGTTTCAGTTGAGAGTTTTACAAGTTCTTTTGGAAGGACCTAAGTTATTTCTTGCTAAGATCAATGAAGCTTGATCAGTAACCCAGAAACATGAAAGTATTACATGTATCCCAAAGAAGGTTAGGGCAAAAAAATCTCTAATTGGAAACCAAGATCTTTATTAAATGTTACTCAGCTGAGTAGCTTCCGATTGTATCACAGAGAGATTTACGAAAGTTTTGCCCTGACTCATTTCTGAGGATCAAACAGGCTTCATGGCCAATAGATATATTGGGGACAACATAAGATTATTATGTGATGTTATGTACCATTATGAAAAGACGAACAGGAAGGGTATGCTTTTTCTAACTGACTTTGACTTTGACTTTGACTCCATACCATGGTGTTTTATCCACCAAACTTTTTAGATTTGGACCTGATATGATCAGGTGGTTTTCTGTTTTCTGTAATCAAATCATGTCATCGGTCTTGATAAAAGGTAAAGTGTCCTCGTCCTTCAAAATCCAAAATGGATGCAGGCAAGGTATTCCTTTATCACCTTACATTTTATTGTGTGTGCAGAAATTCTAGCAGGCTAGATCCGACCATAATGTATCACGGATGTGACTCAACTCCAAAAGTACTAGAATCTGTACTTTACGAAGAAAGTGTAATCCCAAATATAACATGTTACATTTGACCACTTTCTAAATGACAATGTGTAATAGTTTTCGGCCGTGGGAGCTGTGCCAATTTACACTTATCAGAGGGGTACGCAAAGTTTTTAGTCAAGACTACCAGTTGTCTGACTTCCATTTTTGTGGAAGTCTCGGTGGCTGACTCTGAAGGTGTGGGTTCGAATCCCGGATGGGACTCAACCCCAAAAGTACTAGAATCTGTAATTTACGAGGAAAGTGTAATCCCAAATATAACATGTTAAATGTGACCCCTTTCTAAATGGCATTGTGTAATCATGGCATGATCCGACATAGTAAAAATATTAAAGGGATTACAATTTGTAACACAAGATTTCCCAGTTTGCTGATGACACCTCCTTCCTCCTTGATGGATCAACCCAATCTCTTGAAAATACTGTTGCTATACTTGAGAAGTTTATTTGTATGTCTGGTCTAATATAAATTACAACAAATCAGAGATTGTGTGCATCGGCTCAGTGAGTGAAAGAGCTGTCAGGTTTCCACCTCACTATAAGTTTAAATCGAATCACCCAACTTTTAAGTTTCTGGGTGTTACCTTAAGTACCGACTTGGGCACGATGCCCAATTTAAACTATAAGAAGTTTCTTGTAGATTAAGACCCTCGAAGATGCGGGGTAGAATAGGTCTTCAGCAACCCATGCTTGCCACAAAAGGCGACTATGCTTGTCGTAAGAGGCGACTAGCTGAATCGGGTGGTCATGCTCGCTGACTTGGTTGACACATGTCATCGGTTCCCAATAGCGCAGATCGATGCTGATGCTGTTGATCACTGGATTGTCTGGTCCAGACTCGATTATTTACAGACCGCCGCCATATAGCTGGGATATTGCTGAGTGTGGCGTAAAACTAAACTCACTCACTCACTCTTGCAGATTAAAGACGTTCAAAGAGATCATCTCAAAATGGATAAAAAGACTCATCACCCCTCTTGGGAAAATTGCCATTATTAAATCTCTGCTCATCTCCAAACTGAATTATCTCTTGCTTACTTTGCCCAACCCATCTGAATTTTTCTTGATATTCTTTTCAGTTTTCAGTTTTGTGGAATAACAAACCAGATAGAATAAAGAGGGTCCTTGTGTGTAAACCCATTAAAGAAGGGGGGTTAGGAATGATAAACATACCTGCCTATGTCAAAGTGATCAAACTTCTGTGGATTAGAAGACTC